GAGGGCTGTAGAGGCTATATTTCTCATGTGGTAGATCAGCCTCCAAGTCTCTGCAATTCTTATTGCTCTCCTCACTGCAAGTACATGCATCAAGAAAGAAGCAGTTCTGTAACCCCCAAACACTGCAGCAAGTTCCAGATGGTCAGGTTAGCACTGAAGAGCAGCTCAATTATGCCGGTCAACTCAAATAAATACATAAAGAAACAGGAATCAGATCAGATTTGAACGGTTAAGTTATTTGACATGTACGTTCCCACTGATTACTCCAATACTACTTCAGGTTACTTGGGAAAAAAATCACACAGATTTACAAACACTCACAAACAAAAAATTCAACTTCTATCTTAGGTGATATTTTAATAGTCACATACGAAACAATATTAAAAACAGCTAAAAGCGTACTAGGTTCACAAGCAACAAGGGAAGATGACATTGAGAATGACAGCTAGATCTTCCACAAATGTACAAAGTGCACAAATGACCTTTTCATTAGTAAAAATTAATTTCTGAAAGGTATTGCAAGAGGGGAAAGAACAGCAAATATAAAAGTAAAAACAGATTGCATCAATGAACCCAATACACCACAAAGTTTAAGTAAGTTACAGATCAGTGCTCAGGTAACTCAGGTCAAAGAGCACACCTGAGTATCATCTGTAACAGATTATGACCAACAGGGTTCTACAAGAGCCATAGCCTTGATTTCAGAGAGCGCTGTCTGCAGGATTTTTGAGTGGTCATCATGTCTAAAACCATTTTGGAAGTCTGACGTTTTATTAAGAATTTACTAACAGTAGATGCTGTGGTGTGATTTACTGAATGGAGTTAAATAATATTATCCAAACAATTCTTAAAAGATGACAGGTACTCCTGCCCAGAAGTAAACATTGTGATTTGGACTGTGAAAATGCTAAAATTTTACCTGGAAAACTGCACTGAGACAGAATGCGTATCAGATGCTTTTGCGGACACTGAAAAAATTTAGTTTAAGATTTTCTCCTGTGGAATGGAGAGGGCCCTCATATTCAGGTCCATATTGAAAGAAAACAATACATCTTAGTAAAATAAGCACAGCAAAGCCAGGCACCCAAAACATGCCCTAAAGCACTGCAAACCAAATAATAATCACCCTGATTTACAGCAGAATACTAACAGAGCTGTTTCGAGGGAAGAAATGAAAAATAGGACAACTTTTATCTTTTATCCTTAAGAGCTTCTAGAGTGAGGGAAGATATAAGTCTAGTTTTGACAGCACACATACACACACACACATAAATATATATATATAAAATATAAAAATATCAACAGAAGTACTAGCAATTTCCGATACATCCTTTGAGAGTAGGAAGCATACCAAAATTCTTCACTTCCTTTCTAACCTATCTTAAAGACTGATAATGGTTCTCTGAGCCAGATCCCACCACACAGGATGACATAACGTAAAGAGTTCACAAGGAAATCACATGTTTTGAGCACCTAAGAAGTTTCTTACATTTTGGTCAGTGAATTTAGGAGCCTAAATAGAAAGCAGGTTCTTCTAAAAAAAACTGGTGCATCATTTGATCAAGCACCATCTCCTGAGGTCCCTGCATGAAATCTGGACGGAGAAGAGTAAACTATGGGACCCAATGAAGTCAGTCTGTATGCTCCTGCTAAATGGAGTTGGAGCAAAATAGCAACAGGTTCTCTGAATTAAGCATCCATTTAGTTTCATAAACATGCAATCTAAAACACACAAAGCCTGTTTCTTCCCCCCCCCCCCCCCATCAGGTCTGTCAGTCTATATACTTTGTAATAATATCCTTGACCAGTCTTAACAGTTGCCAGAGATCTGGTGTTAAAGAATCTCAGGAGATATTGCAAGATCTCAAAACCAAGTTTGTTGTCATGAGCCATCTCTCCAAGTCCCCTCTATTTATCAAGTTGCTACAATCCAAGTCCAACTCTTCTCCCATTCTCATTCCTTCTTTTCATATACCTACGGATTTACAAATTCAGTTTGGACCCAAATTAGCTTCTGGGTGTTTGTTACAGACTCTTCCAGACAGCTGAACTAAAGGCGTTGTAAGAACAGGACTCAAACAAACTTAGGCAAGCTCGTCTGTTCCTTAGTAGGCCAGGTAAGCGCCTCACATAGTTATTTTGGCAAGGCACAACAGGAACAGCAAGCGCAGATCGCCACACAAAACGCGGCGCTGGGAAAGAGGACCCAGATCTTGCACAGAATCTAGGCCTGACAGCAGGCTAGATCCTCTTTACATCCACAAATACAAAAAGATTTGTCTAGGTCTTTTTTTCCTAGCTTCTTCCCTTTTGGCCTAGTGTGCCAGACATGCTTGCTGAGCCACCTGGAAGTGGATTAGGCCAAACTAGAGGTGTACGTAAAAACTTATCTAGAATCCGGGCAAAGAGAAACCCCATTCGTGGCTCCTAGTCTCTAGGCTCCTATATTTAGGATGTTTTTTAATCTTTCTTAACTCTGGCAAGTTTAACCTCTAACAGCAATCTTCGCCTATTCCAGGAGAACATACAAAAGAGGAGCCAGAGACCGCTTAAAATGGGCCACAGAAGTGAAGCATGAGGATAATCAACTCAAATTTCAGATTAAGAAATAATTCTGCAGATTTCTACCCTTGCTGTTCAAAAACAAAACTGTGTGCGCTTGCTTTTGTAGGATCTTTCCTCTTTTCTTCTTCTTTCTCCCTTCCTCCTCATCCCATTTGATGAGGTCATGTTTTTGTTTCTATACCAGGAGAGTAACATGGATCCCTACGTAGAGTAATAGTGACATTTTAGCTTTCACCTACTGCACAAAGTATTTGCACAAAGAAACATTCCCTCCCCAAAAGCTAGTAACAATTAAGCTAGAAGTTATTTTTCTTTTTGTGAAACATCTTAGCTCCTCTTTCTTTATTCTATTTTTACAGATAAAAACATTTGAGTATCTTTAAAATTAACTGCTCATGAAGTATTCATGCAGATATAGATATAACCAGCATTGTGCTTTCATATATGCTCTAATGTATATCTCTAGCTAGTTTCTTTTGTTGAACATCTCAAAATACCTCAACCCTCTATTTTTTAACTATGGTACAGCATAGCCAGCATAAGTAACCTAAGTGTTTGTATGAATGCTAATAATATAAAGGCTTTCCTCCAGAGTTTGCATATTCTGCACCTGCTTTCTCCCTACTGCTATATGGGAAATTTTACTGCTCAAATCTGCAGAACTCCAAGGGTTTTTCTGGTTTTGAGGTCTTTTTAAAAGCAACCTATTCAGATTTCAATGCAAACAACATGGTTCCCTTCAAACAAGGTATCCTTCAGAGCATGAGAGAGTAAAAAACAGTTTTTTTACCATAAAGATCTAAGAACACAGGGGAGTTCTGCATGCAAATTTCCCCCTTCCAAGCTCTAATTGATATGCCCTGCAGAGATCTTCAGAGATAATTACTTCCCCTGTGGAGAATTATTAAATGATATGACATAATCTGCTTTACTGTAAAAAAGTAGGAGCTGCCTTCTGTCATTTCTTACTTAAGTAAACGCCAATTGCTTTCAGAAGGTATGGCGTTTATCTAAGAAAGCAGCAAATGCTGCATGAAGAACGTATCATTAATAATTACATAATTTGGATACATGCATACCACATTCACCATTTAAACAGATCCGTAATCATCAACTAACTCATCCCCAGTTTTACCCCAAAGTTAAAAAAAAAAAAAAAAAAACACACCACTCAAGCCAAACTTCCATTTTACTACAGGAAATTGAAACCCTAGAAACTTAAATGGCTGTGGAGAAAAAACAATGTTGAAGTAAAAATTGGATTTTAGGCGTTTCTGGTACCAAATTCAAAACTTAAAGTGCATGTTTTCAAAAAAAAGAAAGCAAGCTACATCTGGATGCATAATAATGTATTTAGAAGGTTCACCTGTACCCTCAGAGAAACAAAGAACGTGGCAGAAGCTGTTCGTGAATTCTTCTTACAACATTAGAATAGCGAGATGGAAAACACTGAACCGTAAAAATATTACGGAAATCGACACAAACTGAATGATTCAAGAGAAAACACTGTGGTCTGTGATATTTTCAGACTATCCTATTTTCTTGATGTAAGTTTCTCCGAGTCTTGCCATTTACTCAACAGGCATAAAATGGACTCCTCAACCTTGTAATTGAATATATTATTAATATTTGCTCTTCACTATTTTGACTGCATTTATCATTCAAACATGCGAAACAGTAACAACGTTCAGGCCACTGCGTAACCTGTATTGCTCTTTAAAGAGCTAACGGTCTTGAATTTATAGAGCCCCAAGGCTGATGCACTCAGATTAGATTTACACAAATCAGTAACGAGTTTTGCTTTAAACAGAAGCATACAATCGCAAAATTTTGTAGAGGCATAATTTTGAATATGACAAATACAGAGTGAATACCTTTTTGGCACTTAATACCTTCCCAAAAAATGTATTTGCAGCTGTGCTGCTTCTCGTTCAGCTGCTTAAGGCAAAATTTCAAGCTTTTGGATTGGTGTTAATCAGACGAAGTCACACTGGGACTTTCACCTATATACATATACACTATATCAAGATGCAATTATATTTCAAGTTAAAAGTCAAAGTATGTACTGCTTTATAAGAGCAAAGACGCTTCCAATTTACCCATCATGTAACACTGTTCATTCAATTAGGTTTAATTTCAGAAATATCTAGCAACATTTATTTCTTCCACTTGCAATTCTTGCAACTTTTTAAGGCTCCCAATCAATACAAACTATTAACAACTACGTTACCACAAAGACATAAAAGTATTAACTGAATTTTCTGCAGCTAATTTATCTTTTGGTCTAATTTACAACACTAATCTGAGTTTTAGTGTGAACTGAGTGTGAATGTTAGCTTGAAGGACTATGAATAAACATCTCTGTCGTGTAACAAAAACACAGCAGCATACACCCGGTGCACTGTGATAATAAGATTTAACTGAAAAAGTCATACCTGCGGGCACAAAGTCTCTATGTGATTAGCTGCCATTTGGACAATTTTCATTCCATCTTCATTTGTTGACAATGAACAAGCAAGATTAGCAACCTTAAATAAACAAATAAGTAATTCTGTAAGCAAGTATTCATCTCCAGACTCTAAAATAGGCCAAAAATATCTCTGATACAAAGCTTACTGTTACTTGGGGGAAATAACGTATTTATTCATATCTTGGCCAAGAACATATTTGAACAAGGAAACTCAAGGGGAAAAAAAACGGGGAGAGAGGGGGGGAAGCCGTGGAAAGGAGTGACAATAACAAAAAAAAAAAAAAAATCTCATGACCTATCCCCAGTTTAGGTTCAGCACTTAATAGCAGTAGCGTAGTGCTCTCTCCTACTTGGATACCATTAGATTTCAAATTAGAGATCCTAAGGCTTCAGCTAGATTACTTGTGATTGCGTTCCTTATTTTCCTGAGCCTTTCAAATAACGTGCCCAGCTTTTGGTTTTGGTTTTTTTTTTTGGCCTCACTTTTAGGACCTTAAAGATCAAATAACCCTTAGCCTTGATTTACCATAGTTAAGATACAGTCAGAATGACCTATGCCGTGAGCTAGCCACAGCTAATTAATTAGTGGCACAATTTTCTACTAAGATAGCCCTATTAGTGCAGCTTATACTGAAAATGTACTTCCACAGATATCATGGTTCTTTATACAAGTATAAGTTCCGTTTTATTTTACTATACACCATGAAGAAAACACAGCTTCCTCTATAGGAAAAAAGCCCATCCAGGTGGTTTCACGCTTCTACAAGTTTGAGTAACAAAAGACAACAAACGCACACCCACTTCAGTTCAGTTCTCAACATCAACAGGAAGTAACAGGTGGGCTTGGCAAGGCACATCAGGAGTTGGGGCATGGTGATCTGGTAGATCTTCTCACCATGTTACAGTCACATAAGTCATTAATCGTTATGTAAACGATTGCACTTGTCAGTGCAAGAGTTAAGTGAAATCGCCTTTGTTAAAGTACCTGTATTCCATATACGTCCCACTAATGTTATGTGGATCAAGAAGTGCCCTCTACAGCACTGTAAGTATCAACAGATATAAATATGCATAGTTAAATCATAAACATTCAAAACTCATACAATGGTTTATACAGCTCAAGCGCTAAAAATGTTAGAACTCCTCTTCATTTACTTACACTCAATGACACTACTTACAATAAAGAGCAGTAATTCAGCGACGACCTATTATCGAAGGCTTCTATTATTCTTAGTTAATTCATATAAATAATTAAACAGAACTAGTTAGCCCAAGGCCACATAAATTATTTTACCCTACCAAAATTCAGAAGCTGTGACTGGGCGCCATTTTGAAGAGGATGAGGGCCAGAATGCATATCATTGCATGTATAGCTATGCTTAATTAGAAATACTTTATCAACGTATTCCCACTATTCCCACACAAGTCATCTGTTCCCCACCTGTATGATGCATAGTCTTGTCAGCTTAAAAACTAGGCTTAGCATTGAAGAAATCACTTTTCACTGAGGAGCTCATACTGCCTATTATGTACAATTACTACAAATGCTTTGGTATCATTCTAATACAACTCTAAGAGACACCTTATTCACGCCCAAAAAAGTTATTTTCCTTTAGGTCAGGATTTGTCAATAGCGCTTACAGAAAGTAACTCATACAATTATAATACTGAGTGTTATGCAGTATTGACTACATTTCTTTACTGGAGGGCAGGAGTTCCCCCTTTAGAATTCCATGAACCAGAAACTCTTCTGGCTAGAATTTGCTCAAGAATGAGAAAATCTGTGCGTGCAAGATGCAAACAGTAAAGATAAAGTAATTATATTCTTCTCTCTTACATATTATAGGGAGCACGTGTGTATGTCTAGAAGAGAAAGCACAGCTACAAGAGCTTTCTCTCTGAAAAATCGCGCCTAAATGTGTGCGTAGGCTGAAAAAGTTCATCAGATACAGTTCATGTGTGTGTCTGTGCTTCAAAGAAAAAGGAAGAGATATTTCGAAGTTATCTGAGATGCACTGTATTGTATTCACACCGTTGGCACAAATATTTTGAGATGGAAGGCTTTTTTTCTTGCTTATGCTCACTCAAGTGCACTTACACTCTGTACCCTGATACACCTTCCACTTGCTATTATCCTTGGCTTTTTTCAATATCGGGTTTTCAAATGCTTTCCACTGAAATTACAAGGCAAAACAGAAAAAAAACATATAGGAAAACATCTTGGAGAATGCTAATTACTTCCAATAGTGACTCCAGAAAGGCTTGATAATCCGCAACAGGAAATGCCCTAAAGTCATACATTGCTGTTAGCAATGAAGATACGTAACATCCTTCCTGCAGACAAACTGAAAAACGTTCCCAGTGCAGTAAGATCCTGTGGAAAAGTGACGGTCACAAGCCAAGCGAGGCTGCCTTTTTACTGGGAGACCAATAGGTCTTACCATGTCGACTTAGTGCTGAGAAGGAAGAGGAAGGTATGATCCTATTGGTGAAGCGTCCTCGGGAGTGGGAGACGTTAGTCACAGACCAGTGAAACCAAATGAGGTCTGAGAATGGATCGTGGTTCAGAGTTAACTCTAACCTGAACAATGGATCTGTTCACAAGGTACTTCCCACTCCTCCCAAGCTTTTCGCTCAGATTTTAACTGATGCTGCATTTTTCACGAAGGTGTTGCTCACCAAAGGCAACAATCATCTTGCACATCCATCAAGGTAAAGAAAGCGTCATCTTCAAGACGGGTCATACTTTAGAAGAAATGTCATTGATAAGGGAAGAGGATAAGATGATTGGGAGAGAAGTTACTTTAAACAAACAAAGAAATAGGATAAAATAAGTACAGCTAGTAAGAACAAGAAAATAAAAGGAGTAAGAACACAAACATTAGGCTGATGCCTAAAAAGGTGCCTCAATGCTTTTGAACAGCTGAGAGAAGCCGCAGCACGCTCTGTTCATTGTTACCACCTGTGTGTCATACATGCAAGGGCAGAGCAGGAACAAGCCTGTGAACCACTAAGGCTAACAAGTCTCCGTTCTTGAGTGCCTGTATGTATAGACAGGTACACACAGATAACCACACCAAGAAAAACCACTATTTATTTTCACTCTGTACTGACCAAAATTGACCAGGATCAGACAGCCAGTTGCTTTCAAGTTTTTGCTTAAGAAATTAAATTACAAGCAGCTGAACGACTCACAGTTTAGCTTTTTTAAAATAAAATGTATAACTTGACAATAAGCTACCTGTCAAATGCTTTTAAGTGCAGAAATCAAAAAACAGAAAGCCACAAAAATAAAGCTCAGCTTTAGTGCACAACTGCCATTTAAGAATTTACTTTTTACTTCACTAAACCCTTCACATACCTCAAAAAAAGGTTTCTACGCTTTTACTAAAATTATTATTGTGTTCTGTATTTGAGCTTATAGAACATAAAACAACAAAATCTGTTCAGGTAAGAAAAAGTCTGGTCAACCTTTGCACAAGAGAAATCTAACCAGGTACTTCTTAGATCCAAAATATTTTAATTTTATATATTGATTCATTATTTTATTCAACCTCAGCATTGAGCCTTGGTTTCATAGTTGATGTAGGTTCCTCCTGGGGTTTGGTCCAGTTTTGCAATAGTTAATATATATTTTCCCCCCCTTTCTTGGGGATCTCCTAAGCCAAGGCTTCCCTTGTGGGATACAGTTTAGGGACAAGTCTTTACCTTAGCTCCACGTGAAAACCACCTGATCGGCTGTGAAACTGAAAATTAGATCACCAAAATGCTCATCCCCAAGAATTCTCACAAATCCCTTGAAAGAGTAGGTAAGTTCTCCCACAATCAATGGGGCATGGGGAGAACAGAAGATATATGCAGTATCTCAGTAAAAAAAAATTACAAGAAAGTTCTTAAACACAAATGAATACATTTTGTCTCACCTGAATATTGAAAATTTGAAGTTGATCCCTGCATCTTAGCATTTAGAACCGCAACACAAGACAAGCAACTAAAGACAACGGCAGGCAGTGAAGTGAAACAAAGACAATACAGAATGAAGGTACTCAGAGCAAGGCCTGAGGTTTTAGAAAAGGCTGCAGAACAAAAAAAGAAAGAAAGAAATGTTACAACTGAGGGGATCAGTTTGACCCCAGCATTTCAGATAGAGATGCCTCAGACAACACAGTCAAGAGCAAAGAAAACAGACTGTATATGCAGGGCTGAGGTATGGACAGAGGTAGACGTCGTAATGACGAGAGCGCGTTAGGAACGAGCTTACGGAAAATAAAGTAACGCACAGAATTTGTAACTATACCAAGGAGAGAAACAGGAGAGAGGGGGGAAAAAAAGGGACAAAAAGAAAAAAAGAGAGGAGGGAGGGGAAAAAGAGGACAAAAAGGGAGGGGGGAGGGGGAAAAAGGGACAAAGGGAGGGACCTCAAGGGAGGGGAGGGGAAGGAGGGAGAAAAAAGAACAGCTAGCAGAAAGCTGAGAGCAGTAAATCCCAGATATTACACACGTCCAAACGCTGCATCCAAGATGCACGCTGCCAAACTCCAACTAAACTCTGAAAACACCCTATGGTCTGGTATTTGCTTAACTCTCCCACATTTCATTCCGCTAGAGAACGAATAAGCTTCAGTTCCACAGGCCTCCAGCTCTTCAGGATGACAATCCTGTGAGGTGGTTGTCTCATCTTCTCTTGTCATTCCCCAGTGACAAACAGAAAGTTTTTAAAAGCTTCCCCCTTGTACACAAAATGAACATTTGTATAAGACGACAGGGCCTTCTGCTGAAAAGGATCTTTGTCATTTGAATGGAAAGAATATCCCCCTCAAATAAGAAGGAAACGTCTTGTGTACTGCGAATAAACACAGCCAAATGCATCTCTCAATAAACAGTAACAAAACACGTTACCAGTAAAACACACTTACTGCAGCAGCAGAATGCAGTAGAATACAAACATATTAGTTAGTAACATATTTGACAGGTTAACAAAGCACCTCTGTTTAAACTAATGTTTTCCATCGTTCTCTGAGACTATAGCAGACTACATATTGCAGGTCTAGCAACTGCT